CCTGTATTCAAGACACTGCAAGGAAATCCGGCCTCCTTTCAAGTTAGGGCTTCTCGCTGTATATTCCACTTGAGGCAGCAAACTCGGGTTCCCTCCCACATACCGATTGCTGAGAGAAGCCTCCTCTTGAGGTGCTTCTGGAAAGTTGGTATACGTCTTGAGCCTAAGCCTGGGAATCAGCTCTCACCTCGAAACGATTTGTGGTACACGGAGCATTCCTCGAGTTGCTGTGCTGAAGTTGGTGTTCCTCTAGTCTTGGGACAGTGTTCTCGGGGCATCTCTGGAGTTGCCTGAATGAAGTCAAGCCACTGGTGGTGTTTAATGTGGTACGGGGGATGGCTCTGGAGTCAATGCAGGGGAATCGGGCCTCATCGCGAGTTGATGTGGGGTACTTGGAGCTGCTTTACATTGCTGGGGTGACCTCAGGGTCTGTCTAGTCTTGTGACAGTGTTCCTGGGGACTTTCTCGAGTTCGATTAAGGAAGTCGAAGCTCCTGACTTGCTTGATGGGGATCATGGGAATGCTCTGCATGGACTGCAGGGAATCAGGCCTCATATCGCATCTAGGGGAAGTCTCATGGTTTTTCTCGAGTTGCGGCGGGACCTGGGGTATGTTCTTGAGTTATGGCGGGGATGGCCCTTCAAAACATGTGTTTATTCAGTGACGTCAGGACTCCTGTCTAGTAACGAGAGACACCTCAGGAATCTCTTCGAGGCTGGGCAGGCAAAAGGGATGCTTCTCGAGGTGAGGCAGGGCACCCAAGAACCCTGTCCTGTAGCTACAGTGATTTAGGGATTCCTATCAATATTCAAGAGGAGTCAGGCATCATCACATTTTGAAGCAGTGAACTCCGTGTGCCTCTCGAGGTGTCAACGGGATGTGAGACATTCCTTCAAAATGAGGCAGGGACCTAGGGCTTTCTCTAAGGTCTCCACAGAGGATTCAGACATTCCTTCCGGTTGTGAGATGAAAGACGAGCCTGTATTCCAGACACTGCAAGGAAATCCGGCCTCCTTTCAAGTTAGGGCTTTTCGCTGTATATTCCTCTTGAGGCAGCAAACTGGGGGTCCCTCCAACATACCTATTGCTGAGAGAAGTCTCCCCTTGAGGTGCTTCTGGAAAGTTGGCATACGACTTGAACCTAAGCCAGGGAATCAGCTCTCATCTCGAGACGATTTGGGGTACACGGAGCATTCCTCGAGTTGCTGTGCTGAAGATGGTGTTTCTCTAGACTTGGGACAGTGTTCTCAGGGCGTCTCTGGAGTTGCCTGAAGGAAGTCAAGCTACTGGTCGTGTTTAATGTGGAACGGGGGATGGCTCTGGAGTCAATGCATGGGAATCGGGCCTCAACTCGAGGTGATGTGGGGTACTTGGACCTGCTTTGCTTTGCTGGGGTGATGTCATGGTCTGTCTAGACTTGTGACAGTGTTCCTGGGGACTGTCTCGAGATCCATTAAGCAATTCGAAGCTGCTGACTTGCTTGATTGGGATCACGGGAATGCTCTGCATGGACTGCAGGGAATCAGGCCTCATATCGCATCTAGGGGAAGTCTCATGGTTTTTCTCGAGTCGCGGCGGTACGTGGGGTATGTTCTCGAGTTATGGCGGGCATGGCCCTTGAAAACACGTGTTTATTCAGTGACGTCATGACTCCTGTCTAGTAACGAGAGACACCTCAGGAATCTCTTCGAGGCTTGGCAGGGCAAAAGGGATGCTTCTCGAGGTGAGGCAGGGCACACAAGAACCCTTTCCTGTAGCCACAGTGATTTTGGGATTCCTATCAATGTTCAGGAGGAGTGAGGCATCGTCACATTTGAAGCAGTGAACTCCGGGTGCCTCTCGAGGTGTCAACGGGATGTGAGGCAATCCGTCAAAATGAGGCAGGGACCTAGGGCTTTCGCTAAGGTCTCCACAGGGGATTCAGACATTCCTTCCCGTTGTGAGATGAAAGACGAGCCTGTATTCAAGACACTGCAAGGAAACCCGGCCTCCTTTCAAGTTAGGGCTTCTCGCTGCATATTCCACTTGAGGCAGCAAACTGGGGGTCCCTCCAACATACCTATTGCTGAGAGAAGCCTCCCCTTGAGGTGCTTCTGGAAAGTTGGCATACGTCTTGAGGCTAAGCCATGGAATCAGCTCTCACCTCGAAACGATTTGGGGTACACAGAGCATTCCTCGAGTTGCTGTGCTGAAGTTCGTATTCCTCTAGACTTGGGACAGTGTTCTCGGGGCATCTCTGGATTTGCCTGAAGGAAGTCAAGCCACTGGTGGTGTTTAATGGGGTACGGGGGATGGCTCTGGAGTCAATGCATGGGAATCGGGCCTCAACGCGAGTTGATATGGGGTACTTGGTGCTGCTTTGCGTTGCTGGTGTGATGTCAGGGTCTGTCTAGACTTGTGACAGTGTTCCTGGGGACAATCTCGAGATCCATTAAGAAATTCGAAGCTGCTGACTTGCTTGATTGGGATCACGGGAATGCTCTGCATGGACTGCAGGGAATCAGGCCTCATCTCGCATCTAGGGGAAGTCTCATGGTTTTTCTCGAGTTGCGGCGGGACCTGGGGTATGTTCTCGAGTTATGGCGGGCATGGCCCTTGAAAACACGTGTTTATTCAGTGACGTCATGACTCCTGTCTAGTAATGAGGGACACCTCAGGAATCTCTTCGAGCCTTGGCAGGGCAAAAGGGATGCTTCTCGAGGTGAGGCAGGGCACACAAGAACCCTTTCCTGTAGCCACAGTGATTTTGGTATTCCTATCAATGATCAGGAGGGGTCAGGCATCGTCACATTTGAAACAGTGAACTCCGTGTGCCTCCCGAGGTGTCAACGGGATGTGAGGCAATCCGTCAAAATGAGGCAGGGACCTAGGGCTTTCGCTAAGGTCTCCACAGGGGATTCAGACAATCCTTCCGGTTGTGAGATGAAAGACGAGCCTGTATTCAAGACACTGCAAGGAAACCCGGCCTCCTTTCAAGTTAGGGCTTCTCGTTGCATATTCCACTTGAGGCAGCAAACTGGGGGTCCCTCCAACATAACTATTGCTGAGCGAAGCCTCCCCTTGAGGTGCTTCTGGAAAGTTGGCATACGTCTTGAGCATAAGCCAGGGAATCAGCTCTCATCTCGAGACGATTTGGGGTACACGGAGCATTCCTCGAGTTGCTGTGCTGAAGATGGTGTTCCTCTAGACTTGGGACAGTGTTCTCAGGGCATCTCTGGAGTTGTCTGAAGGAAGTCAAGCCACTGGTTTTGTTTAATCTGGAACGGGGGATGGCTCTGGAGTCAATGCAGGGGAATCGGGCATTATCTCGAGTTGATGTGGGGCACATGGTGCTGCTTTGCGTTGATGGGGTGACCTCAGGATCCAACTAGACATGTGATAGTATTCTTGGGGACTGTCTCGAGATCCATTAAGCAAGTCGAAGGTCCTGACTTGTTTGATGGGGATCATGGAATTGCTCTGCATGCACTGCAGGAGAATCGGGCCTCATCTCACCACTAGGGGAAAGTCTCATGGTTTTTCTTGACTTGCAGCGGGGACCTGGGGTATGTACTCGGGTTACGGCGGGGATGGCCCTTAAAAACTCGTGTTTATTCAGTGACGTCAGGACTCCTGTCCAGTAACGAGGGACAGCTCAGGAATCTCTTCGAGGCTTGGCAGGGCAAAAGGGATGCTTCTCGAGGTGAGGCAGGGCACCCAAGAACCCTGTCCTGTAGCTACAGTGATTTTGGGATTCCTATCAATGTTCAGGAGGAGTCAGGCATCGTCAGCTTTTGAAGCAATGAACTCCGCGTGACTCTCGAGGTGTCAACGGGATGTGAGGCATTCCGTCAAAATGAGGCAGGGACCTAGGGCTTTCTCTAAGGTCTCCACAGGGGATTCAGACATCTCTTCCTGCTGTGAGATGAAAGACGTGCCTGTATTCAAGACACTGCTAGGAAACCGGCCTCCATTCTAGTTAGTGCTTCTCGCTGTATATTCCATTTGAGGCAGCAAACTCGGGTTCCCTCCCACATACCTATTGCTGAGAGAAGCCTCCTTTTGAGGTGCTTCTGGAAAGTTGGCATACGTCTTGAGCCTAAGCCAGGGAATCAGCTCTCAACTCGAGAAGATTTGGCATACAGGAAGCATTCCTCGAGTTGCTGTGCTAAAGTAGGTGTTCCTCTAGACTTGGGACAGGGTTCTCGGGGCATCTCTGGAGTTGTCTGAAGGAGGTCAAGCCACTGGTGGTGTTTAATGCGGAAGGGCAGATGGCTCTGGAGTCAATTCAGGGGAATCGGACCTCATCTCAAGTTGATTTGGGGCACATGGAGCTGCTTTGCGTTGCTGGGGATACCTCAGGGTCTGTCTAGACATGTGACAGTGTTCTTGGGGAATATCTCGAGATCCATTAAGCAAGTCGAAGCTCCTGACTTGTTTGATGGGGATCACGGAATTGCTCTGCATGCACTGCAGGAGAATCGGGCCTCATCTCGCCTCTAGGCGGAAGTCTCATGGTTTTTCTCGAGTTGCGGCGGGGACCTGGGGTATATACTCGAGTTACGGCGGCGATGGCCCTTCAAAACACGTGTTTATTCAGTGACGTCAGGACTCCTGTCCAGTAACGAGGGACAGCTCAGGAATATCTTCGAGGCTTGCCGGGGCACAAGGGACGCTTCTCGAGATGAGGCAGGGCACCCAAGGAACCTTTCCAATAGCCACAGGGATTTTGGGATTCCTATCAATATTCAAGAGGAGTCAGGCATCGTCACCTTTTGAAGCAGTGAACTCCGCGTGCCTCTCGTGGTGTCAACGGGATGTGAGGCATTCCGTCACAATGAGGCAGGGACCTAGGGCTTTCTCAAAGGTCTTCACAGGGGATTCAGACATCCCTTCCTGTTGTGAGATGAAAGACGAGCCTGTATACAAGACACTGCAAGGAAATCCAGCCTCCATTCAAGTTAGGGCTTCTCGCTGTATATTCCACTTTAGGCAGCAAACTCGGGGTCCCACGAACATACCTATTGCTGAGAGAAGCCTCCTCTTGAGGTGCTTCTGGAAAGTTGGCATACGTCTTGAGCCTAAGCCAGGGAATCAGCTCTCATCTCGAGACGATTTGTGGTACACGGTGCATTCCTTGAGTTGCTGTGCTGAAGTTGGTGTTCCTCTAGTCTTGGGACAGTGTTCTCGGGCATCTCTGGAGTTGTCTGAAGGAAGACAAGCCAGTGGTCTTGTTTAATGTGGAACTGGGGATGGCTCTGGAGTCAATGCATGGGAATTGGGCCTCATCTCGAGTTGATGTGGGGTACTTGCAGCTGCTTTGCATTGCTGGGGTGACCTCAGGGTCTGTCTAGACTTGTGACAGTGTCCCTGGGGACTTTCTCGAGTTCAATTAAGCAAGTCGAAGCTCCTGACTTGCTTGATAGGGATCACGGGAATGCTCTTCATGGACTGCAGGGAATCAGGCCTCATCTCGCCTCTAGGGGAAGTCTCTTGGTTTTACGCGAGTTGCGGCGCGAACTGGGGTATGTTCTCGAGTTACGGCGGGGATGGCCCTTCAAAACACGTGTTTATTCAGTGACGTCAGGACTCCTGTCTAGTAACGAGAGACACCTCAGGAATCTCTTCGAGGCTTGGCAGGCACAAGGGACGCTTCTCGAGGTGAGGCAGGGCACCCAAGGAACTTTAAAATAGCCACAGGGATTTTGTGATTCCTATCAATATTCAAGAGGAGTCAGGCATCGTCAGCTTTTGAAGCAGTGAACTCCGCGTGACTCTCGAGGTGTCAACGGGATGTGAGGCATTCCGTCAAAATGAGGCAGGGACCTAGGGCTTTCTCTAAGGTCTCCACAGGGGATTCAGACATCTCTTCCTGCTGTGAGATGAAAGATGAGCCTGTATTCAAGACACTGCTAGGAAACCGGCCTCCATTCTAGTTAGTGCTTCTCGCTGTATATTCCATTTGAGGCAGGAAACTCGGGTTCCCTTCCACATACCTATTGCTGAGAGAAGCCTCCTCTTGAGGTGCTTCTGGAAAGTTGGCATAGGTCTTGAGCCTAAGCCATGGAATCAGCTCTCACCTCGAAACGATTTGGGGTACATGGAGCATTCCTCGAGTTGCTGTGCTAAAGTAGGTGTTCCTCTAGACTTGGGACAGTGTTCTCGGGGCATCTCTGGAGTTGTCTGAAGGAGTTCAAGCCACTGGTGGTGTTTAATGCGGAACGGCAGATGGCTCTGGAGTCAATGCAGGGGAATCGGACCTCATCTCAAGTTGATTTGGGGCACATGGAGCTGCTTTGCGTTGCTGGGGATACCTCAGGGTCCGTCTAGACCTGTGACAGTGTTCTTGGGGAATGTCTCTAGATCCATTAAGCAAGTCGAAGCTCCTGACTTGTTTGATGGGGATCACGGAATTGCTCTGCATGCACTGCAGGAGAATCGGGCCTCATCTTGCTTCTAGGCGGAAGTCTCATGGTTTTTCTCGAGTTGCGGCGGGGACCTGGGTATGTACTCGAGTTAAGGCGGCGATGGCCCTTCAAAACACGTGTTTATTCAGTGACGTCAGGAATCCTGTCCAGTAACGAGGGACAGCTCAGGAATATCTTCGAGGCTTGCTGTAGCACAAGGGACGCTTCTCGAGATGAGGCAGGGCACCCAAGGAACCTTTTCAATAGCCACAGGGATTTTGGGATTCCTATCAATATTCAAGAGGAGTCAGGCATCGTCACCTTTTGAAGCAGTGAACTCCGCGTGCCTCTCGTGGTGTCAACGGGATGTGAGGCATTCCGTCACAATGAGGCAGGGACATAGGGCTTTCTCAAATGTCTTCACAGGGGATTCAGACATCCCTTCCTGTTGTGAGATGAAAGACGAGCCTGTATACAAGACACTGCAAGGAAATCCGGCCTCCATTCAAGTTAGGGCTTCTCGCTGTATATTCCACTTTAGGCAGCAAACTCGGGGTCCCACGAACATACCTATTGCTGAGAGAAGCCTCCTCTTGAGGTGCTTCTGGAAAGTTGGCATACGTCTTGAGCCTAAGCCAGGGAATCAGCTCTCATCTCGAGATGATTTGTGGTACACGGGGCATTCCTCGAGTTGCTGTGCTGAAGTTGGTGTTCCTCTAGTCTTGGGACAGTGTTCTCGGGGCATCTCTGGAGTTGTCTGAAGGAAGACAAGCCAGTGGTCTTGTTTAATGGGGAACTGGGGATGGCTCTGGAGTCAATGCATGGGAATCGGGCCTCATCTCGAGTTGATGTGGGGTACTTGCAGCTGCTTTGCATTGCTGAGGTGACCTCAGGGTCTGTCTAGACTTGTGACAGTGTTCCTGGGGACTTTCTCGAGTTCAATTAAGCAAGTCTAAGCTCCTGACTTGCTTGATGGGAATCACGTGAATACTCTTCATCGACTGCAGTGAATCAGGCCTCATCTCGCCTCTAGGGGAAATCTCATGGTTTTAATCGAGTTGCGGCGTGAACTGGGGTATGTTCTCGAGTTACGGCGGGGATGGCCCTTCAAAAAACGTGTTTATTCAGTGACGTCAGGACTCCTGTCTAGTAACGAGAGACACCTCAGGAATCTCTTCGAGGCTTGGTAGGGCAAAAGGGATGCTTCTCGAGGTGAGGCAGGGCACCAAAGAACCCTGTCCTGTAGCTACAGTGATTTTGGGATTCCTATCAATGTTCAGGAGGAGTCAGGCATCGTCACATTTTGAAGCAGTGAACTCCGTGTGCTTCTCGAGGTGTCAACGGGATGTGAGACATTCCGTCAAAATGAGGCAGGGACCTAGGGCTTTCTCTAAGGTCTCCAAAGGGGATTCAGACATCCCTTCCTGTTGTGAGATGAAAGACGAGCCTGTATTCAAGACACTGCAAGGAAATCCGGCCTCCTTTCAAGTTAGGGCTTCTCGCTGTATATTCCACTTGAGGCAGCAAAGTGGAGGTCCCTCCAACATACCTATTGCTGAGAGAATCCTCCGCTTGAGGTGCTTCTGGAAAATTGGCATACGTCTTGAACCTAAGCCAGGGAATCAGCTCTCATCTCGAGACGATTTGGGGTACACGGCGCAATCCTCGAGTTGCTGTGCTGAAGTTGGTGTTCCTCTAGACTTGGGACAGTGTTCTCCGGGCATCTCTGGAGTTGCCTGAAGTAAGTCAAGCCACTGGTCGTGTTTAATGGGGAACGGGGGATGTCTCTAGGGTCAATGCAGGGGAATCTGCCATCATCCCGAGTTGATTTGGGGCACATTGTGCTGCTTTGCGTTGATGGGGTGACCTCAGGATCCGTCTAGACATGTGACAGTATTCTTGTGGACTGTCTCCAGATCCATTAAGCAAGTCGAAGGTCCTGACTTGTTTGATGGGGATCACGGAATTGCTCTGCATGCACTGCAGGAGAATCGGGCCTCATCTCGCCTATAGGGGAAAGTCTCATGGTTTTTCTCGACTTGCGGCGGGGACCTTGGGTATGTACTCGGGTTACGACGGCGATGGCCTTCAAAACTCGTGTTTATTCAGTGACGTCAGGACTCCTGTCCAGTAACGAGGGGCAGCTCAGGAATCTCTTCGAGGCTTGGCAGTGCCCAAGGGACGCTTCTCGAGGTGAGGCAGGGCACCCAAGGAACCTTTCCAATAGCCACATGGATTTTGGGATTCCTATCAATATTCAAGAGGAGTCAGGCATCGTCACCTTTTGAAGCACTGAACTCCGCTTGCCTCTCGAGGTGACAACGGGATGTGAGGCATTCCCTCAAAATGAGGCAGGGACCTAGAGCTTTCTCTAAGGTCTCCACAGGGGCTTCAGACATCCCTTCATGCTGTGAGATGAAAGACGAGCCTGTATTCAAGCCACTGCAAGGAAATCCGTCCTCCTTTCAAGTTAGGGCTTCTCGTGTATATTCCACTTGAGGCAGCAAACTCGGGGTCCCTCCCACATACCTACTGCTGAGAGAAGCCTCCTCTTGAGGTGCTTCTGAAAAGTTGCCATACGTCTTGAGCCTAAGCCATGGAATCAGCTCTCACCTCGAAATGATTTGGGGTACACGGAGCATTCTTCGAGTTGCTGTGCTGAAGTTCGTGTTCCTCTAGACTTGGGACAGTGTTCTCAGGGCATCTCTGGAGTTGCCTGAAGGAAGTCAAACCACTTGTGGTGTTTAATGTGGTACGGGGGATGGCTCTGGAGTCAATGCAGGGGAATCGGGCCTCATCGCGGGTTGATGTGGGGTACTTGGAGCTGCTTTACATTGCTGGGGTGACCTCAGGTTCTGTCTAGATTTGTGACAGTGTTCCTAGGGACTTTCTCGAGTTCGATTAAGCAAGTCGAAGCTCCTGACTTGCTTGATGTGGATCATGGGAATGCTCTGCATGGACTGCAGGGAATCAGGCCTCATATCGCATCTAGGGGAAGTTTCATGGTTTTTCTCGAGTTGCGGCGGGACCTGGGGTATGTTCTCGAGTTACGGCGGGGATGGCCCTTCAAAACACGTGTTTATCCAGTGAGGTCAGGACTCCTGTCTAGTAACGAGAGACACCTCAGGCATCTCTTCGAGGCTTGGCAGGCAAAGGGATGCTTCTCGAGGTGAGGCAGGGCACCCAAGAACCCTGTCCTGTAGCTAAAGTGATTTTGGGATTCCTATCAATGTTCAAGAGGGGTCAGGCATCATCACATTTTGAAGCAGTGAACTCTGTTTGCCTCTCGAGGTGTCAACGGGATGTGAGACATTCCTTCAAAATGAGGCAGGGACCTAGCGCTTTCTCTAAGGTCTCCACAGAGGATTCAGACATTCCTTCCGGTTGTGAGATGAACGACGAGCCTGTATTCAAGCCACAGCAAGAAAATCCGTCCTCCTTTCAAGTTAGGGCTTCTCGCTGTATATTCCACTTGAGGCAGCAAACTCGGTGTCCCTCCAATATACCTATTGCTGAGAGAATCCTCCTCTTGAGGTGCTTCTGGAAAGTTGGCATACGTCTTGAGCCTAAGCCAGGGATTCAGCTCTCATCTCGAGACGATTTGTGGTACACGGAGCATTCCTCGAGTTGCTGTGCTGAAGTTGGTGTTCCTCTAGTCTTGGGAGAGTGTTTGCGGGGCATCTCTGGAGTTGCCTGAAGGAAGTCTAGCCAGTTGTCTTGTTTAATGGGGAACTGGGGATGGCTCTGGAGTCAATGCAGGGGAATCGGGCCACATCTCGGGTTGATTTGGGGCACATGGAGCTGCTTTGCGTTGCTGGGGTGACCTCAGGGTCCGTCTAGACTTGTGACAGAGTTCTTGGGGACTGTCTCGAGATCCATTAAGCAAGTCGAAGCTCCTGACTTGTTTGATGGGGATCACGGGAATACTCTGCATGCACTGCAGGGAATCAGGGCTCATCTCGCATCTAGGGGGAAGTCTCATGGTTTCTCTCAAGTTGCGCGGGGGACCTGGGGTATCTTCTCGAGTTACGGCGGGGATGGCCCTTCAAAACATGTGTTTATTCAGTGCCGTCAGGACTCCTGTCTAGTAACGAGGGACACCTCAGGAATCTCTTCGAGGCTTGGCAGGTCAAAAGGTATGCTTCTCGAGGTGAGGCAGGGCACCCAAGGACCCTTTCCAGTAGCCACAGTGATTTTGGGATTCCTATCAATATTCAAGACGAGTGAGGCATCATCACCTTTTGAAGCAGTGAACTCCGCGTGCCTCTCGAAGTGTCAACGGGATGTGAGGCATTCCGTCAAAATGAGGCAGGGACCTAGTGCTTTCTCTAAGGTCTCCACAGAGGATTCAGACATTCCTTCCGGTTGTGAGATGAACGACGAGCCTGTATTCAAGACACTGCAAGGAAATCCGGCCTCCTTTCAAGTTAGGGCTTCTCGCTGTATATTCCTTTTGAGGCAGCAAACTGGGGGTCCCTCCAACATACCTATTGCTGAGAGAAGGCTCCCCTTGAGGTGCTTCTGGAAAGTTGGCATACGTCTTGAGCCTAAGCCAGGGAATCACCTCTCATCTCGAGACGATTTTGGGTACACGGAGCATTCCTCGAGTTGCTGTGCTGAAGATGGTGTTCCTCTAGACTTGGGACAGTGTTCTCAGGGCGTCTCTGGAGTTGCCTGAAGGAAGTCAAGCCACTGGTCGTGTTTAATGTGGAAGGTGGGATAGCTCTGGAGTCAATGCAGGGGAATCGGGCATTATCTCGAGTTGATTTGGGGCACATGGTGCTGCTTTGCCTTGATGGGGTGACCTCAGGATCCGTCTAGACATGTGACAGTGTTCTTGGGGACTGTCTCGAGATCCATTAAGCAAGTCGAAGCTTCTGACTTGTTTGATGGGGATCACGGAACTGCTCTGCATGCACTGCAGGAGAATCGGGCCTCATCTCGCCTCTAGGGGAAAGTCTCATGGTTTTTCTCGACTTGCGGCGGGGACCTGGGGTATGTACTCGGGTTACGGCGGGGATGGCCTTCAAAACTCGTGTTTATTCAGTGACGTCAGAACTCCTGTCCAGTAACGAGAGACAGCTCAGGAATCTCATTGAGGCTTGGCAGGGCACAAGGGACGCTTCTCCACTTGAGGCAGGGCACCCAAGGAACGATTCCAATAGCCACAGGGATTTTGGATTCCTATCAATATTTTAGAGGAGTCAGGCATCGTCACCTTTTGAAGCAGTGAACTCCGCGTGCCTCTGGAGGTGACAACGGGAAGTGAGGCATTCCGTCAAAATGAGGTAGGGACCTATAGCTTTCTCTAAGGACTCCACAGGGGATTCAGACATCCCTTCATTCTGTGAGATGAAAGACGAGCCTGTATTCAAGCCACAGCAAGAAAATCCGTCCTCCTTTCAAGTTAGGGCTTCTCGCTGTATATTCCTTTTGAGGCAGCAAACTGGGGGTCCCTCCAACATACCTATTGCTGAGAGAATCCTCCTCTTGAGGTGCTTCTGGAAAGTTGGCATACGTCTTGAGCCTAAGCCAGGGATTCAGCTCTCATCTCGAGACGATTTGTGGTACACGGAGCATTCCTCGAGTTGCTGTGCTGAAGTTGGTGTTCCTCTAGTCTTGGGAGAGTGTTTGCTGGGCATCTCTGGAGTTGCATGAAGGAAGTCTTGCCAGTTGTCTTGTTTAATGGGGAACTGGGGATGGCTCTGGAGTCAATGCAGGGGAATCGGGCCACATCTCGGGTTGATTTGGGGCACATGGAGCTGCTTTGCGTTGCTGGGGTGACCTCAGGGTCCGTCTAGACTTGTGACAGTGTTCTTGGGGACTGTCTCGAGATCCATTAAGCAATTCGAAGCTCCTGACTTGTTCTATGGGGATCACGGGAATACTCTGCATGCACTGCAGGGAATCAGGACTCATCTCGCATCTAGGGGGAAGTCTCATGGTTTCTCTCATGTTGCGCGGGGGACCTGGGGTAACTTCTCGAGTTACGGCGGGGATGGCCCTTGAAAACACGTGTTTATTCAGTGCCGTCAGGACTCCTGTCTAGTAACGAGGGACACCTCAGGAATCTCTTCGAGGCTTGGCAGGTCAAAAGGTATGCTTCTCGAGGTGAGGCAGGGCACCCAAGGACCCTTTCCAGTAGCCACAGTGATTTTGGGATTCCTATCAATATTCAAGACGAGTCAGGCATCATCACCTTTTGAAGCAGTGAACTCCGCGTGCCTCTCGAGGTGTCAATGGGATGTGAGGCATTCCGTCAAAATGGGGCAGGTACCTAGAGCTTTCTCTAAGGTCTACACAGGGGCTTCAGACACCCCTTCGTGCTGTGAGATGAAAGACCAGCCTGTATTCAAGCCACTGCAAGGAAATCCGGCCTCCTTTCAAGTTAGGGCTTCTGGTTGTATATTCCACTTGAGGCAGCAACTCGGGGTCCCTCCCACATACCTATTGCTGAGAGAAGCCTCCTCTTGAGGGGCTTCTGGAAAGTTGGCATACGTCTTGAGCCTAAGCCATGGAATCAGCTCTCAGCTCGAAACGATTTGGTACAAGGAGCATTCCTCGAGTTGCTGTGCTGAAGTTCGTATACCTCTAGACTTGGGACAGTGT